TATTTAAAAATTGAACTTTAAAAATGATTGAAACTAATTATTGAAACAACTGCTCTTAAAAAACTTATAATTTAGAGAAAAAATTATAATTAATTAGAGATAACTTTTTTTCGTCTGGTGTCCATAAGATATAGGATTCCTGTTGGGTATTTACATTGATATGAATAACGGGTTAAAACCTCATTCAGAATCTCGAAATTAGTGATAGACTAGACTAAATAGATACAACTAAAATTAAGATAATATTTTAGAAACAGCTTTGTGGTAGTCTGTTGTATCTATAGAGAAAGTCTAATAATTCGTCACCCTAGAATTAGGTTGTTCTATATCCACTTTTGGGGTAAAATGAGTTACATACACCATTTTTTTATGCAGAATTAGCTTCTTCTATATCCACAATAACAATATAGCCAAATTCACAAATAAAGAAAAAAAATCTAATATTGTGTACTATATCCATATTAATTTGAAAGTGGCGAAACCATATAATGGTTTCCGAAACCATCCAAAAATCACTATTTAAGGCTACATCCTACAGTTTGTAATAAAAAAATAGAATTATTGTGTTCTTTATCCTAACGTGGCCTAAGTGGATATGGAACGAAAATACCAGATCAAAAAATATGCTGCTATGCATAAAAATTAGATTGTTCTATATCCATTTATTCTCGATCTCTTTCTCTCTAACATACAATGTATGTATCTGTTTTTATTTAAATTTAAGGCTTTTGTTTTAAGCGGGTGAAATTGCACCACTAAACGTTCTTTTGTCAAATAGGCGGCAAATCGGTTCGTTTGAAAAGCACTGATTGCCTGATTTGTTAGCAAATTCGAATGTTTCACACTTTGGAATTTCGTGAAACCAGCTGCTTCAACTCAATTGACTGCTCAATCGTTCGTTTGAAAAGCACTGATTGCCTGATTTGTTAGCAAATTCGAATGTTTCACACTTTGGAATTTCGTGAAACCAGCTGCTTCAACTCAATTGACTGCTCAATCGTTCGTTTGAAAAGCACTGATTGCCTGATTTGTTAGCAAATTCGAATGTTTCACACTTTGGAATTTCGTGAAACCAGCTGCTTCAACTCAATTGACTGCTCATTCGTTCGTTTGAAAAGCACTGATTGCCTGATTTGTTAGCAAATTCGAATATTTCACACTTTGGAATTTCGTGAAACTAGCTGCTTCAACTCAATTGACTGCTCAATCGTTCGTTTGAAAAGCACTGATTGTCTGATTTGTTAGCAAATTCGAATGCTTCACACTTTGGAATTTCGTGAAACCAGCTGCTTCAACTCAATTGACTGCTCATTCGTTCGTTTGAAAAGCACTGATTGCCTGATTTGTTAGCAAATTCGAATATTTCACACTTTGGAATTTCGTGAAAGTAGCTGCTTCAACTCAATTGACTGCTCAATCGTTCGTTTGAAAAGCACTGATTGCCTGATTTGTTAGCAAACTCGAATGTTTCACACTTTGGAATTTCGTGAAACCAGCTGCTTCAACTCAATTGACTGCTCAATCGTTCGTTTGAAAAGCACTGATTGCCTGATTTGTTAGCAAATTCGAATGTTTCACACTTTGGAATTTCGTGAAACCAGCTGCTTCAACTCAATTGACTGCTCATTCGTTCGTTTGAAAAGCACTGATTGCCTGATTTGTTAGCAAATTCGAATATTTCACACTTTGGAATTTCGTGAAACTAGCTGCTTCAACTCAATTGACTGCTCAATCGTTCGTTTGAAAAGCACTGATTGCCTGATTTGTTAGCAAATTCGAATGTTTCACACTTTGGAATTTTGTGAAACCAGCTGCTTCAACTCAATTGACTGCTCAATCGTTCTCTAATACTATCAATACTAGAGATAGCTAAAAAAACATTTAAATGATCCAATGAAAGTTAAAAATCAGACTTAAAATCTGATTAACTTATTCTAACACTATATATACCAAACAAATAGGCGGAAAAAAATTATAGTTTTTAATAAACAATGCAGACGAATAATTACTACTATTGTATTTTAGGTTTTTATTTTTTTACGTTGTTTTTAGTTAATGTCTTAATGTCTCCATTTCAGTTATTTTGTGTTGAAATAACATTTTGAAATACAAATAAATCAGCTTAAAATGAGTATTATATTATTCTATATCCCCTTATTTTGTTCTATATCCCTAAAATTGGCTCAATGCACATCTAATACACATTTGTTCTATATCCAAATGTAAAATCATTAATATCTTTTAAATAAAGCTTCTAAAAGTAAAATAAATACATATGTTTGATAGGTTTTTATATTACCTTTAATTTATATGTTTAATAGAACTATTTTGGTATATAGTGTTCACGGATACCCAGTTTAAACTTTAAACTTTATTTTCTTAGTTTCATCGAAATGGTCTATAGAACAATCTTATTCTAGGGTGACGAATTATCTTATAAAACATTAAACTTTTCATTTCTAACCACAATTGCTCTTAACGGAGGATGATGAAAGTCCAAAATGACATTGCTCGCACATTGTGAAATATAATTAGTGGTAAAAGTTAGTTTTTTTTTAACTTTTTTTACTAATTCAACATTTCTACCACTAATTTTAACCTTTTGAACGCTTACATTGTACCCTGTATTGCGGAATAAACTTCTACGCTAAATGAAACCATAAGTTTATTCCTCTAACTTTGAGGTTCTGAATGTAGCTTAAGAAAAGAAGTTGATGCAAAGATGCTGGACAAGAAGAAAGTAAAAAAGATTACAGATTATTTTGTAAGTCCCAACTGGAAACCGATTATTGATGCTGTAATAGATAATACGAAACTTTTTCACTAGAAATATTTTGTATTTATTTTTAACGCTTCTTTGAATAATAATTAATATACTTATTTAAAATTGCAATATCCCTGTTATGTTATTTATCAATCAAAATGTAATAGGCCAGTAGTAAGCGAGGATAAAAATAGGGTATTACCTTCAAATTCTTGACATCCGCACCGATTGACGTGAAATTTTAACAGTGAATAGAGATATATGTAAGAAACAATAGCTACATAGTAGCGATGTGTGCTTTCACCCTGGGGGTGAGTGCCACCCCTTCTCGGGGGTGAAAAATAGATCACCCATTTTAGTTACAAAAATCAACAAAGGGATGAATTCTATAACATTTTTTCAGAAAATTAATATTTTCCGAGTTATTTAGGATTGAAAATGTTGGTTTTTCATCTTAAACTGCATATTTTTCTGTAATTTTTTATAAATAACTGGAAAATGTTGTATTTTATCGCAAAACTCATATAAAGCAAAAATGAAGCTTTTGGAATAACAAATCGATTTATTTTTTGTTGTTTATCATAGGTGTAGTCATAGCCGAGTTATCACTCTGTAAACTTGATTCTTTATTTTTCGAAAACTAAATTGCATCATTTTACCGTAAAATAATGGCGAAAGAAGACATTTTTCGAAGAAAATGAATATGACCGTTTTTAAAGTGCTTGAAAAGACCTTTTATGTCATTTTTAAAGGTTTTTTCAAGTTCGTAGCTCAAAAACTCGAGGAGTTATGATAAAAATAAAATGGTCATCTCATTTTTTCGGAAACAAATTAACAACAAAATCTATGATTAAAATCATAAAAATAAAAACTATCAATTTGTAGGAAATTACACGAGCTACAAATTAACCTCTATAGTTGAACAGTCTTGAACTCTTCATTTTCGCGAGATTTTTGGGTTTTAAATGCTCAAAAAAGGTGGTTCCTTACCTGCAAGTCAAACTAAAAAAACGTAATATCTACGAGATAAAGAGATCTACACAAAAATTAAAAGAGAGCAAAAATATTGCAAAAAAAGAACTTCAATTTTGCTCTGTCTTAGTTTTTATTTTTATGATTTTAGTCATAGATTTTGTTGTTAATTTTTTTCCGAAATAATGAGGTGACCATATTATTTTTATCATAACTCCGCGAGTTTTTAAGCTACAAACTTTTTTAATAAAGCATTTAAAAGGTCTTTTCAACCACTTTAAAAATGATCATATTCATTTTCTTCGAAAAATGTGTTCTTTCGCCATTATTTCACGGTAACATGTTGGAATTTAGTTTTCGAAAAATAAAAAATCACGTTTACATAATGATAACTCAACTATTATTACACCTACGGTAATCAACACAAATATGGATCGTTTAGTAATTCCAAAGCTTCATTTTTGCTTTATATGAGTTTTGCGATAAAACGCAAGGTTTTCGAGTTATTTATAAAAATTGGCAAAAAAATATGCAGTTTTTAGATGAAAAATCAACATTTTCAATCTTAAATAACTAAGAAAATATTAATTTTCTGAAAAAATGTTATAGAACATTTTTTGCTTAGAATTCATCTCTTTATTGATTTTTGTAATTAAAATGGGTGACTTAAATTTCACCCTGAGAAGGGGTGGTACCCCCAGGGTGAAAGCACACATCGCTACTATGTAGGTCTTGTTTCTTACATATATCTCTATTGACTGTTACAATTTCACGTCAATAGGTGCAGGTGTTCAGAATTCGGAGCCTAAAACCCTCGCTTACTGACCTATAACTACCTCGCTGTATAATAATATACATATGTTCTATAAATAGGCCTGATTCTAACCCATTCTCGATAGTACGAACTTTTTTGTTATTCCGAACTGATTTGAATTTATTTGTTTGTATTATCAAAAGTCCAGTATATTTTTAGGTATTAAATTTTAAAGCTAAGAGACTCAAAATATTTATATTGTTCCATATAAACCAAATAAGTAATTTTCGTTTAATGCTAATACCTAATTTGTATAATGGAGGGTTATTTCTGTTAGGGCATTAGGATATTTACTAAATAAAAAAAAAAGAATATCGAAAATATATCTGTCGAAAAATATACTCATTCCAAACCAACTACATATTTTCTGCAACATACTAGAGTAAGATAACGATACCCAAAAAAATATGTCGACTAAGCAATTTTATACTATTTTTATCTTTTTTTCAGGGTTTGGTCCTGCTGTTTCGGGAAAAGGGATGAACCAAACAGCTTCACCACCTCCTCGACGTGCCATGTCTCCTGACCAACCGAATCCTGCTGAACCCATAACAGACCAGCCCAGTCAGGTTATCGGCAGGATAGGATGGGCCCTTAGAACGTTATTACTATGTAAGTATTAGTAATGTAATAGTAGTCTTAACATATTTTGTATGCGGTATGTCCTCGGATTGTATTCACAAGAGTACAAACTTTTTTATTATTAAAAATTTGTAAAAAATGTGTTTTTTATAAAAAAAAGTCTTGTTCGAAAATGTTTAATCAATACTTTTCCAAATTTCAATACCGTTTTAAATAAAAATATGAAAATATGATTGAATTTGTTTCCAAAAAAAAGTCCTAAAAATGGTCATAAAATAAAAACGCGTCTCTATGGTAATACATTTGGATTTAGGGTGTATTCCGTTGCTTACCTTGGTTATGGTTTTATGTTCCCTTTTCATCGGTTTCCTGAAAGATTTCTTATTACGGAACACGGTTCCTGAAAAATTCGTTGTCACCAAACTAACCAGCGCGAGAAGACTGGTTTTCGGGTTTTGTTCTGGTTTTTCTGGTTTTGTAAAATGTCATTTATGTGACAGAAATCAAACAAATATTGGAGAGCAGTCGTGGATAAGGTATTTCACTGGAAAGAAAACTAATTAATAACAATATACAAAAGAAATAGATATTGGGCGCCAGGCATGTACAGAGAAAGAAAACACAGTTGTATATTACTTAAAACTAATGGCTATATTTATTCAAGATGGACTGTGATGGTAAATAGCATTGTACAATTTTAATAATTATTATAGTGGATATATGTCAACGAAAGTGGTGTTAAGAATTGTACTAAATATCTATGAAAACAATACCATTACAAGACGTAATGTAATGAAACCTAAGAGCTAAATCATATTTTAAATATTAAATCGACATGAATGTTCTTAACAATCTAACCACTAAACATAGTCTGTACGATATTACTTAAAATGTACGTTACTGTTTAAGACTGAAAATATAGAAAATCTAAAACATAAAAACTAGAACGTAAATCTACACTTAGCTGTTCTTTATGTAATCTTGCTTCAAACAGTAGCAGCGTGAGGTGGTCTCGCATCTCTGTACTCGGCCATCTAATACAATAAAAGGGGGCCAGAGTGAGGACACAATGAATTGATACAGCCGTAACTACTGACTAGACTGAGAAATGGGAACGAAGCAGCATGGGGCTTACGCTGTATCCATACTGTAGCAATATGGGGACCCTACCCGTACCTTGGAACACCACTAGGACCTTGGATATTGTCCGTAACTTGAACCATAACCTTGGACACAGCCCGCCCATAAGACAACGGTACAGGGGAACACTACCCGTACCTTGGATACTACTAGGACCTTGGATAATGCCCGTACCTTTTAAATAGTCCGTACCTTGGACCCTAAAAATATGAAACTCTTGTTTAAAACCAAACAAGGTCTAATAAACAAAATAAACCTACCTCGAATTACTTCCGAGGGCTCAATAAAAAACAAAGAAACTGTCCTTTCTTCCATGTAACATTCTGGAGGACAGAAGAAAAGGGACGCCAACGTGCCAGCAAAATACAAATACAAGTTAAGTTGGGACATCCAAAACTCTACCCTAAAAATATGCAGTAATAATATCGAATCTAAAAGGATAATATTTCATCTTTACCTGTTGCTTTGAAATAGCAGCTGATTCAAATTATACAGCAATATTTAAATAATCACCATTTCTAAAAGCCGGGATGCAACAGAGCCGCTTTTTGATATATATTAATTATTTTTTTATAATTTCTCTCTGATTAAGAGAAAGAAAAAAACATAATACATTATGGCTTATCATATACCAGAAATGATCATTTTACTAATAGAAAATTGTTCACTTGCAAATATTTTGAAAACTACTTTATTATTACAACGTGGCCATACAACATACAAATATATACAGGGTGGCCCATTGAAAACGTTCCGCAAGGCATAACGGCCAGGGTATTTTTTTTTTTTCAGAAAATTCAAAAACACGTCAATTTTGTTTGTGAGGGGGACAACTTTTGCCCCAAAAATTATTGTATAATCTTCAACCCTCTAAGCAGGGGTGTCATCCCCCAATTTTTTTCAAATGGGAAGGGAGGTCAAGTGGTACCGCAATGAAAAGGGCTTTCTATTCTCTGTACTTTCCCGCTTCGTTTTTGAAAATCGGTCGAGTCATTGAGAAAATATGAAGGATTGAAATTTGAAAAGTTTATTTAAACATTTATCAGAGTAAATGATAAGGATAAATTCCTTCGACCAATTTGCTGTTTTTTCTTATTATTTCTAGATGTTTATGCATTTTTTCACTTGCCACGATATTGAACAATCAGGTGCGGTAGTTGCTAGATAGCTGTTCTGTGACTTGTGCATTGAAGTTCTTCTCAATATCGTTAAACTTTTTAACAATTATGGTGTACTCACTTGCAGAAAAAGTGGAAATAATCGAACTTTATTTTAAAAATAGTGAATGTGGCAGTGGGGTTGCGCAGATATTCAATGAACGCCATCCTGACAAACACCTTTATGGCAAAATTGTTCGCGAGTTAGTAGCAAAATTTCGCTAAACTTGTTCCGTTATGAATAAAAAGAGGCAGAGGGAAAATCCTGTAGTAAATGAAGCTATGGAGGTATTCGTATTGGGCTAAGTTGCCATGGATAGTACGCTGAGTACAAAAAAATTAGCCAATGAGACCGGCGTGAATCGTACCAGTGTCCAAAGGATATTAGCTTACTTCGGGTTTTTCTTATTACCGATTCTGAACCGTCCTAGAACTGTGATGCGTATGCGCAGAAGGAAATACGAAGACATTATTTCATATGCGCATGCGCTGCCGAGTTCCAGGACGGTTCAGGATCGGTAATAACAAGAACCCGAACAAAGCTATTAAAAAAAAACAGAAGTTCCACCCGTACAAAATTCAGTTGGTACAAGAACTCAACGAAGACGATGTTAATCGTCGCTTGCAATTTTGTGAAACTATGAGTGAACGAGTGGCGAATGATAATAATTTCCCATTTAATGTGCGTTTTTCGGATGAGTGTACTTTCTTTTTAAACGGTGTAGTTAATCGGTACAACTGTCGGTACTGGGCTGAGGACAACCCCAGGGTTTTCCACGAGGTACACACACAAAACCCTCAGAAATTGAACGTGTGGGAACGTTGCGGGTCAGTTTAACGATATTGAGAAGAACTTCAACGCACAAGTCACAGAACAGCTATCTAGCAACTACCGCACCTGATCGTTGTGGCAAGTGAAAAAATGCGCAAACATCTAAAAATACTAAGAACAAACCTCAAATTGGTCGAAGGAATTTATCCTTATCATTTACTCTGATAAATGTTTAAATAAACTTTTCAAATTTCAATCCTTCGTATTTTCTCAATGACTCGACCGATTTTCAAAAACGAGGCGGGGAAATATAGAGAATAGAAAGCTCTTTTCGTTGCGGCGCCACTTGATCCCCCTTCCCATTTGAAAAAGTTGGGGGATTACACCCGCGCTTAGAGGGTTGAATATTTTGCGATCATTTATGGGGCAAAAGTTGTCCCCCTCACAAACAAAATTGACGTGTTTTTGGATTTTTTGAAAAAATAAATACCCTGACCGTTACGCCTTGCGGAACGTTTTCGATGGGCCACCCTGTATAAACTTAAATAAAGAATTTTTTTTTTCTACGACTAGCCCAGAAAATCCAGTTTGACACACGGAAAACTCGATCTGAAATTTGTGTTTTGTAAACTGTCGTTTGCTAAGAATTTAGCGCACGACATTTGTCTTAGTGCCCACGACATGTGTCAATTTTAACATTTTTAACCTTCAATGTTTAGCTGAAACGCCAAACGCAACGCAGCCGTCAGAAAAGTGTCATCATTACATCGCAAATTATTCCACAAAACTGACAAAAACTGAGTGAGTCTGCTGCTCATTTGTAGTCGTACAAAAAATTTCGCAAAAGACTCGTTCGAAAACTTCATTGTACACTCGTACCTTGCCTGCGGCTCGAGCCAACAAACTGTCGAACTCGTGTGCAAAACGTCGTTTTCGAAACTCGTTGTTTAATATGCTATTGTGTCACCATTCAAAAACATTTTATGTAATATTTATTTGTAATATACCCACCCTATATCTTCTTCTTTACGTGCCGTCTCTTTCGTGGAGGTTGGCGATCACATTGGCAAAATCTTCACGATTCTCGGCTTGCCTTATAAGTTCTTCAAAAGTTAGGTGAGTCCAGTTTCTGATGTTTATCAACCAAGATAGTTTCTTCCTGCCGAGACCTCTCTTTCCTTCAATCTTACCCTTAACTATCAATTATAAGACGTCGTATTTTTCATTTCTCAATATATGCCCTAAGTATGATGTTTTCTTATTTTTATTATATTGAGCAATTCTCTCTCTCTGCCTATTCTGTTGTAGACTTCGGTATTTGTGATATGGGCTGTCCATGGAATTTTAAGCATTCTTCGATATATCCGATATATCCATGTTTCGAACGATTCGAAGCGATTCATCTCTTGAACTTTCAGTGTCCATGTTTCTGCTCCGTATAATAGGATTGACCAAACATAACACTTAACGAGCCTAGTTCTCAACTCTAGGTCCAATCTGGGGTTCTGGAAGACGTTCTTCATTTTTAAAAATGCATTTCTCGCTTGTTCTATTCTGTTTTTTATTTCCACGTCGTTGTTCAAGGTGTTAACTACCCAGCACCCCAAATATTTGAACTTGTAGACCTGTTCTAAGGTATTGCCCTCTATTTTAATAGGAATTGGTACATTTTGGTTCTTTCCAAATATCATGACTTTAGTTTTAAGAGAATTGATCTTCATCCCGTATTTCTTACAGGAGCCTTCAAGTCGTTCCACTAAACTCTGGAGATCAGTATCAGAATCGGCAGTAAGAACTGTGTCATCGGCAAATCTAATGTTGTTAATGACTTCGCCGTTGACTTTAATACCGCAATCTGTTGAAGAGAAAGCTTTCCGAAAAATCGCCTCAGAATAAACATTAAATAACGAAGGAGACAGCACACATCCCTGTCTTACTCCTCTCTGTATATTGACTGGATT